GTAGTATGTAAAATATTATCCCAGTTATGCAAAATTCAACAAAGAATTATTAAGTTCTTCTTATATGCCAGATGCTCTTTTAGGAACTGGGATACAAGAACTTGATAGGGAAGAATATACCATTGCTTTGTGTCTCATTTAATTTTGTATCACAGAATAAACTGGTACTTCTTGCTGTGATGTTCTGCATGGATAGAAAATGTTTGTTTACTTTCCCTAATTATTTCTGGGAGCCAGACAATGACAGTGCAGATATTTGGCCATTGATACCTGAGCTGATGCCCTGTCTGAGGAGCCAGTCAGATTAGCTCTGCCCACCTCCTTTTGTGGATAAGGGCCATGCTTAGGAAGAACTTATCCCCCCACTTTAGCTCGGGAACAGGGAATGACATTGAAATACATTCATTTCCTAAGGTACTAATGTGATCACAGCCCAAACCTGCTTGTAACCCTCCCTTTCTGAGGAAACTTTGCAGGGGGAATCATTGTGGTGATCCTTTTCTTCTTCAGTGTCTTGTCATTTGTTATTGTATTAGATGTTTTGGATTTTTATTTTGGGGAGAGATACTTAGAAATAGTTTCTTACCCATGCTTGGTTGAGCATGTGAGCCAAGTTGGTGAATTCCTGAAGTGAATTTTGACACTGGGGCCCATTAGCGATGGATAGAGTTTGAAATTTGAGTTTGCATGATCTGTTGGCCGTGGTTGGCGGTGCCCATCTTGGCCCTTACTTCTTACTGTCCACTATGTGATCTAAGGTAAGTCTTTAGGTCTCTGTACCTAAGTTTCTTCCATAAGATCAGGTGGGATTTACAACCTATTTTCTAACTGTTTTACAAGGCTTAAGAGATCTGTACTTGGAAAATTATTTGAACAGAAGAAAACCCCCACTGAGTAGTCATGGTGAAAGTTTTTATTCCAGCAAGAAAAGAAAGTAATGGTGTGATAACCTGGCACCTCAAGGAATGAGACCATTTAAAAATGAATTAATATCTGTACCTTTTCATTCCCAAGTCTTTGCTTCCATAGCCCCTCAAATGAGAATGCAAATTACTGACCAACCTTTTGGTATTCCTTTCAGGGACACCTGTGTGGTTCTTTGTGAAAATTGCTCCAATTCGAAACGAACAGGATAAAGTGGTTTTATTTCTTTGCACTTTCAGTGACATAACAGCTTTCAAACAGCCAATTGAGGATGACTCATGTAAAGGTTTGTAATTCTGATTTGTACAAATACATTTATGCCTTTTTTTCGCCTTTAGTGTGGCTCTTGTTACAGAGAATTTGAGGTTGCCAAGGCAATCTCATCACAAAGATGAAGATTTAAACTTTAATTTGTGTTGGGTAAAGTAATGTGTCATTCTGGAATGTGTGAGGGGAGGAGAGGGAGAGAAAAAAACACTTTGTTTGGGAAAGCATTTGAATCAATTTCATACCTTTTAAAATTAACCCTTTCCAGTATTAGTTAGACAGAAGAGGGTAGTTAGGCAACTCTGGTCTCATCAGAATCTTTTCAGGTTTTCACAAGACAAGTGTCAGTCATGCAAATGGGGCAGTCTATGACCACATTTCATCTGATTTGTATACAAACTTTCTTTGATTTGACTGAGTTCTACCATTCAAGATTGTTAAAGCAGACTTTAGCTCGTCTCTACCTCTGCGGTTGATTGAGTTAAGTCTGTGCCCAGTTACTTCATTTGGAAAATGGCATTAATGAGGCCAGGGTCTTGACCCATATGGGTCGTTTAATGAGTTCTGTGACCACAGTTTTTAGCACTCACCTCAGCCACATCATTTGCATGTCTTGTTTGCATAATGTGGGGGACCTAAGAAAGGAGATGGCTCAGGATTTCTGGAACAACTATACCCCTGAAGAGGTTCAGATCATCAGGATATACAAAAGATGGCATGTTATTCCCAGAGGTTTGGGATTAGGGGGTGACATAGCACTTCTTTCACATCCCTCTTTCATAACACGCACACAAGATAACCAAGAGGCTAGAAACGATCTCTTCTTGTGGTGCTACCTGGCTCTGTGGTTGATTTTCCAGCTCTCCCTGAGAACTCTACTCCTTATGGTTTCCTGAGATGTAGCAAAGAGATGAGAGTGGAGTCCAGGGCAGAGTCAAACTGGGACATATTCTTCTTGATGTGACAAAAGTTTTATTGTTAAATGGGCGTTACAGGAGGAGATAAGAAGCATTATGGGGATGCCCTCTCAGGGGCTGTGTTCTCTGAGGGTATTTAAAATCCTGGCATATTTAGACGTCCACATTTATGGAGTTCAGAGCACAATGCTGTGTATACCAGTGCATCCTATTTTTAAAAGCTGTCTGATAGTTCAGTAAATCAATTTCAGCTTGCCTTTTGGTTTTACAACTGCAGTCGATGCAAAGTGTCTTAACCAGTGTCGCAGGCTCCCGAAGTCTCCCTTTTCTTCCAGATTCTTGATTGCCTGGTTTCCAGTTTGCCTGATTTCTAGATTGCCTGATTTGAAGATTTCTAAGTGCAATAGGTATTACATGGCAGTCAGTCTCACTCATGAAATGTCATCTTGTTACTATATAGAAAGGCCAGTTGCTTTTTCAACCTAATATACTCATAAATAAAATTTTAAGGCAATTGGATATTTTGACACTCAGTTTTGCAAATTTTCTCTTAAAAATATAAGATATGTGATTTGGTTGAGTCAGATGTTTTCTTTTTATCACACTGGAACCTTCGTAGGTGATGCGCAAGTGTTATTTAGTAGGAAAGGCATACCCAACAGAGAATGTTCCTTATCTGCCGCCTAGGTACCTGCCTTTGATTCTCGTGAAGTTTGAAAGGAGATAAATCAGAGTCATGTAGTGAGACTCACTTAGGTTTATTTTCCAGGAATGAAATGTTCCACTTCATTTAACCTGCCTCAATGATGCATTTCTTTGCTGACAAGTTTTAGTACACACACATAAACACATATATACACACACAGACCCTCATGAGCATGCACGCACACACACACACACACACACACACACACATACACACATACACACACTTACCCTATTCCCTCTTAGCTGAGGAAGCCAGGTATTAATTCTCTTTGTCAGTGAAATAAATAAAAATAACTTGTGGCTTGACATGTAAAAATCTAAAACACACGCACACACACATTAGCCCTTACTATAGGAATCCTGCTATTATAGTAGACCATGCTTAATGTCGCTTCAAACACGTGACTTTATAAGCCTGTCCGTTTCAAGTGCCATGGCAGAAATGTTCAGACCCTCCCCACTGGCCATGTCACCGTGCCCCCATCCCGCTGTGTTCCGGTGGTCTGCTTAGGTCAAAGTCAAATTTTATATTAGTGTGTTTATGATGGAAGCACATGATCATTCTCCAGGCCGTGTTAGTTGTAAGTCTATAAACTGCAGTTCTGGCTGCAAGGATCAAATCTAGACCCGAGAAAATACGCTGCTATGTGGTTGGATTGTAATCCTGGCTTGACATTTCTTCTTGGATGTGTTCTTAGCAGTTCGTTTCCAGCAGACCAGCTGGGTTTTCAGTACAGCACCTCAGTCAGCATTAAAAGTCTTAAGAGTCTTGCTGATCCAGGCTTGTTTAAAATCCACTTTTGAGATGGGATGGAAGGGTGGAAAGTCTAAAACCCCAGGAAATTCCCAGGTAATTGTTCTGCGGCATAGCTGCTCGGGATGTCTTCCCACTATCAGATTCGCCTTTTAAATCAATGGCACTCAAATTGTCTTTAAAATTACTTTGTTTTTTATGATGATTTAACGTCTAACTTTGGGACTCGGGTGGGATGAGTGCGTCTTGATAGCGGTGAAAGAAGCCAGTTTGTGTATAGCCTTTTCCCACAAACCACCCACAAAGGGGCCAACACGTGGGATAATTGCCAGTGGATTCTTTCAGCATCTGGCACAAAATAACTCCCCTTCTGCCTCAGGCACAGGTGATGGGCCCTGGACATGGTTCCTGAGCCCCCTCTTTGATTCGATGCATCAGTTCTCACTATCCTTTTTATGAGTCATCCAGGCCCCGGACTTGCTCACCTTTGCTTTGATGTCTGCCTTTTGACTGATTCTCTTACTCTCTGAAAACAGTGCCCACGGATGGCATGGAGCAGGAAATGAAAGTCAAGCTAGGTTTGCTGTTTGGTAACAGGTCCTCTGTGTGTGTGTCTGCGTTTAAAGGCTAAGAGATTAGGTGGGAATTCTTGGCTACAATGAGGATCCGTGATGCTCTAGCAGTTTCATTTTTTCCTTACCTCTTGCTTTTCTGTTATTAAAGATAATTGGGAGTAGGCTGCAGGGTATGTTTCTGTTCCTCCTCCCTTCCGAGGAGGCCTGGGCAAATGGGTAGAGAAGAATTAAAGTGTAAGGCTCCGAGTTTTCTCTCTCTGTGTTGCTCACCAAATCATGAGTCACCCCTCTTGTCTTCTCTCTTACCCCATGAAGTAATCTCTCATATGAAAGGAGCAAATTCATTTTGAAAGGTCCACGTATTTACTCTAAATTCAGAGTTCAACTTGAGCCAAAATCAGGCAACAAAAGCAATGTAAAACCTGAGAGGAGATGTTTAAGAGCCAAAGACTTAGAATATTGAAGGATGAAGGCTCTGGCAAGCTGTTGTAACTGCCAATCCTTCTCCACGTGTCTTCATGTGGGATATTTATAAGCCGCTCTTAGAAAAGACACAAAGTAATAGATAAAAAGCCAAAATCTTCCCCTCCATAGTAACATTTTATCTCTATCCCTTAGGATGATGGAAAAATGATGATTTAGTGACTGCCACTTCAAGGAGCCCTCCTCGATTTTTGGTTATTGTATAATACATTGGTAGGGAAGAGATTGTGGGAGGAGACTTGAGGACACTTAGGCAGTGGTCCACACTGACTGTCCATCCTCGTACCCTTTGGCCACTATTCTCTGCTGGACATTGGGTTATGGCATCGACTCCTCTAAGAGGATTTGTGACTTTGTATATCACGACAAGGCTGGCCTCTGTCTTTTCTATTATCCCTGGATTTACCCTCAGAGGAGCTAGAATTTTAACTTATCCCAGAACCATCTCTTTTGGCCTAGAGGGATGTATGGGCTAAAGTACCCTCACTGGTGGCTCAGCCAGGTTGAAACCCAGCAGCCATTTCAGCCACTGTGGGGTCAAGGCAGGGGGAAGCAGTCGTCCTTCCTGAGAATGGAGAAAGGACCCAGTAAATACATTTTTGCTGATTGCACACTGT